GCCAGCCTGCACCTCACGCTGCACAGCGTGCTGCTGCGGGAGGGACACGCCACGTGAGCACACTACTCTTATATATTAACTTGATTACACCCGCAACTTTGAATGGAATTTATAAAAATAGTGTATAAAATTAGCCTATGTGTGTACTTCCACGCTGTCATCTATGTATGCCAAATTTTATTGAGATTCGTTCTTAATCCATCTAAAGTTTCTCATTTCTAATATTAGTAAGGTCATAATATACACACTTTTTTGTAATAAAAGATGTCAGCAATCATTGTTTGTTTTTGAATCTCTTTTTTAATAAAAACCCCTCTACACTTACAACAGTCTATAGACTTTCTCATGATTTTAAACTTAAGAGGTAAATAAATTAGAGATAACGACATGCGGGTAAGTAACAAAACCTGTAATGTTGCCAATAGAAGGAAATAAGCAAGGTTGCCATGGTTAGTCATAAACAATTCTCAGCCAACGTCACTTTCATCTTTCAATCCAAGTTTGGGTTCATAAAGATTTCTTAATAGGTGGTTTCATAGAAGAAATTGTGTAATGTGACTATACCATTGTGTTGTAGGGATGAAGATATGCAGTCGCTGGCTTCATTATTGTCAGTCAACAATAATTCTGACATCGCCGTGCTGGAGGACCTTGACGAAGATGATTACACGCTCTCTGATAATTCTACCAGACAGGTGAGTCTCCTAAATTGGCCTACACAATGTGTACTTGAATAGTTTTTAAATTTATGATATTTGTTAACAGATGCTCGACTTACGTCAACAAATGGAGGAAATGACGCAAAGTTTGACAAACAGTGATATCGCGGCCACGCCCAATAGTGTACAGAGTTTAAACTTTGACAACTCTGCCACGCCCACCGCGCCCATCACGCCCACAACGGACACGCCCACCAACCCCGCCACGCCCACATCACCAACCACGCCCACAAATAACAAAGAAATAGACTTCACACCCAAAGACATTAATATCAAAAGACCAGAATATAATAACTTTACGAAATTGTCAATTAAAACAGAATCTCCCAAATTTACATCAACCCCAAAAGCGGAAGAACCAATAGTAGATAACTTTAAGGCGTTACAATTCAAACCGAAGACGATAGCCAAAAAGAACCTTAAGCCTTTGGAATTGAAGACGAATTTGAACAACATTAGCCTCGACACCAACGAGAATGAGAAGGGAGATGACAGTGAGAAGACACCCGTCGTCGATATGGAGAAACTGTTCCCATTGAAAGGATTGGATAAAGATAAAACTCCGGTAAGTCAGCTTATATCAAAGTTGAATCGAAATTTTGTTGTAGATGGCGCTAGTATCGAGTCCACTAGCGCCAATTTGTAATACTTTCCGATAAACTCTTGCATTACATCCCTTACGTCGTAAATATTTTGATTGACGTGTATTGGATATGTTTTTTAAAGTTTTTTTTTGTATGTTATATGGATAACTATGTGTGTTCAGGTGCAGGACCTGCTGGAGTGGTGCCAGGGAGTGACGCGGGAGTACCGCGTCTGCCGCATCACCAACCTCACCACCAGCTTCCGCTCCGGCCTCGCCTTCTGCGCCATCATACACCGCTTCCGGCCTGACCTCATGTCGGTGATACCACCTTCTTATGACACCATGGGCCTCGCAAACCGACGGCTAACGAAGGTCTTGTTGGCGACGCCTATGTGTAAAAGCCTCTTAAATAAGGCCATATTATTAAAATATAACGTCTGTCAAATTGTAAGCAGCGCTTACGAAGCAATGTTTGAGATTTGTTTAGTATTCTGCCAATAGTGTTGATTATAAGTTAAAATAAGTTACATGTGCAGTAAGTTACATGTTACTTTGTTTTGTGACCTCTAGTCTTAATGACATTCGATTACTTTATTTCCCTGAGGTGTTATCATAGTTCATACTAATATTATAAATGTAAAATTTAAAAGGATGTTTGTTAGAGTTTGTAGCCTAAACGGCTGAACGGATTTCGATGAAATTTGGTTTAGATGTAGAGGATAATCTGGAAGGACAGATAGGCTACAGTTCTGTCCGACGCGGAGTCGCGGGCGACAGCCAGTAGTGTCCCAAATGTGCGCAGAGACTTCAGCGGGCTGCAGCCGGAGGAGGCGGAGCGCAACCTGCGCGTGGCGCTGGAGGCCAGCGCGCGCCTCGGCATCTCGCAGGTCCTCACCGCGGCAGACGTCTGCGCGCCGCCCGCGCCCGACAAGCTCGCCGTTAGTACTCACTCACTCACTCACTCACTCATATGTTTACTCTCACTCACTCGCTCACTTATTCATTTTATCACGTAATCACTCGCTCACTCTAACTTTTTCTTTTTCATTATCATTCACTCATTTAGCGAACTACTCACTCGCTCACGCACTCATTTACTCACACAGTCGCTTATTCGCTAGAAACTCACACAATCACTCATTGACTCGCTCACATTTTTTCTTGCTCATTTATTCCATCACTCACTTGATGACACACACTACATCACTTGCTTGGCCATTTACTTGTATACTCACACTACGTTTTTCTTTTTCATTCATCTACATTCACTCATTCAGCGAATTACACAATTTCAAAGTATAGTTAAGATTATTCTTGCATTTTCTTCATTAGTTTGTATGTTTCCTGTTCCAGATAATGACGTATTTGTTCCAACTGCGCGCGCACTTCACCGGCAGCGAGCTGCAAGTTGAACAACTAGGTATATATTAATTTTCGTTATTTAGTACTTCAGACCATTAATATCGACCCAACCATTTCAAAGACTTACGTATCTAACGGAGCCTTGTAGATAAATTTAAAAAAATGCTTTGTTAATAACAATGCATATATATATTAATGCAATTTTTTTCCATCTATACTATTCTAAAGAGGAAAGATTTGTATTTTTGTATGTATTGAAATAACTCAAAAACTACTGGGTCGATTTAAAAAATTATTGTACCATTAAAAAGCTTTTCAACCACTAAGTAATATAGGCTGCATTTACTATTATTTTTAAATTCCATGTGGTAGAAGTCGCGGGCAACAGTTAGTGTATACTAATAGAGCGGGAAGATCTATTTTTTGTATTTTTGTAAGTATAGTACAAAAAGTACCGAGCTGATTTTAAACATTCTTTGACCGTTAGAAAGCTACGTTATCGCTGAGTAACGTACAGGTATTACATCCATACATTTTGGTATGTGCAGGTAACGACGAGACGGAGTCGTCGTACCTGGTGGGGCGACACGACACGGACGGCAGCGTGCCCACAGACCTCTTCAGCAGGGAGGTCAGCGAGCGCCGCTCCCGCATGCGGGCCCGCCCGCGCCCGCGGTACGTACACGTACAGGCGGGGAAACTGTCGGTGGACTACTTACGAAATACGATAGGATACCACAGTAATTCTCAACCACTGTGCCGCAGCACTTTTGTGTGCCGCAAAATTTTGCATATTTTTGTCATTTATGCACTGTGTAGTAAGTAAATAATTTTTATCTTTTTCTTTGTGTGCCGCCTAATTTTGAAGTCGTTAAATATGCCGTAATAAAAAAAGGTTGAGAATCACTGGGACCACCTATAGGACACTTTTATGTGTATTTGTTTGAAATGTCGGTCCTTACTTGACTAATTGATTACTCATTAACAAGGTTTAAGCTAAGCACCATTTGCGCCCGGCCAACTTAAGTCAAGTTATAAATGCCTCTTCTAAACAAACAGTGGCAAATATGTGACAAAAAATTTCTAATAGCTTTTTATTATTTTGCGAACTCGTTTGCTCAACTCACAGCTTTATTTTGTTTCGTTGTAAGCAACAAAGCAATTTATCTACAAGGAACACCGCAGGTTTCCACTAATAATAATAATAATAATAATAATAATAATAGCCTTTATTTCGACAATCTTACAATTTACATATAAAATTACCAATTTTGATTTTAAAATTAATTTGACACCGGTTTTAAGA